ATATGGGTTATTTCTTAATAGTTCACAGAGAATATATGGGGTAGCGGATTTTTATCCCCCTGGAATTTTACCCCCTGGGCAAACGTGACGTCACAAACCAGGGGGTAAAATTCCGGCCGCGAACTTGTGAGTTTCGCGACATCAGCTCGATGGATTAAACGCTGAATTAAAAATATATTTTCACGGTTGTGAATTTAATCAGAACACATCAAATTATAAAAACCTAGAGTGTATGGCCCGGATTTTTACCCCCCGGAATTTTACCCCCGGAATTTTACCCCCCGGAATTTTACCCCCGGAATTTTACCCCCGGAATTTTACCCCCCGGAATTTTACCCCCGGAATTTTACCCCCCGGGATTTTACCCCCGGAATTTTACCCCCTGGCTAGATATAAAATTAGTGAGAATGATTAATTATCTTCATTCTGTTTTAATTTAATAGTAAACATTTTATTATTAAGTAGCCTATCTTAATTTATTTGTGACATTAACTAATCGAACATGTTTTTAATTTTAATTTTGAGATTCAAGTATTAGGATTCGATCTTTGAAGCCAGCTTTTGGTTAATATGACGTATATACAATCAACTGAATGATAATTGTTTCGAATATTTCTTTAACGATTAATTATACAACCATGGTAAAACATTGTTTTTCGTGTTTTTATCAAACAATACATTGTTTTTCGAATTCGTTTGACTTACCCTAGTTGAGATTACAAAATAAATAAATAAAGATAGGCCACTAAATAATGAAATGTTTACAATTAATTAAAAACAGAAATAATAAAACCAATCATTCAATTTCTAAAATCGGCCAGGGGGTAAAATTCCGGGGGGTAAAAATCCGGGGGTAAAATTCCGGGGGGTAAAATTCCGGGGGTAAAATTCCGGGGGGTAAAATTCCGGGGGGTAAAAATCCGGCCCGAACATTTCAGTTGTCTAAACACTTGTTATATAGACAGGGGGTAAAATTCCGGTTTTTATCGCTAATTGAATTAATCACGCTCTGACTATTTTCATTAGACTTCGAAATCCGCGGGGGTAAAATTCCGGCCGCGAACAAACTTTTGGCCACTCAGGTTACTACGTCATAGTGACGTCAGCTTTGCCCAGGGGGTAAAATTCCAGGGGGGTAAAATTCCGGCGACCCGAATATATAATATTGTCTCCTCGGTGAATAGGGTTGACGATGCCAAATTGCATTTAAAGTATTGCAAATCGTTGTTGATTAGTTTGAAACCAAAGTTTGCAAATAGTGGTTTAAATAATAAATGATCTTTAACGCAAAGGAATGTATTTAACGTAGTATATGAAATCAAATGTACTGTGTTAAAAAATAAGTTGGTGATTAAACATTTTATTTATATTCAGGTTAAAATATAAAATTGTTTCACTCTTGCAATACCATGATAATAAAATGTGATATTCCAGTTTAATTCGACAGCTAGGATCCTATTTCACTGGGGTTGTTATCTATGTCGCAACTTTGGCTCGGGTGCGGGGGTGTGTGCGGGGGATGATCACGTGCTGTTTGTTTTGTTTTCGTTTCTGTGTTCACCGAGTTGCAGTAGATGTCAGTTTTCCATAGGGCACACATCTTTCTACAAAAATTACCCATTGTGTACGGTTGTTGTAATAGTTCGAAAAATAAGAAAACGCAACCAAACGTGCGATATTTTAGTTTTCTTCAACAAATCAACAGGAGGCTAAGAATGCAATTTTGCTAGTGGCAAACAAAGAAAATTTCTAAAGAAACTTAAAAAAGTTTAGCCAGAGGTGATGAAATGTTTCATTTTTTAGATGTTTACTTTCAGGTCGTAAATATTTTTATAAGATTGCAAAATGTAAAAAAACTATGTTTTTGGTTAAGGAAATGTTATTCATTTCCGATCCTACAAATTTTATGGCAACTGTTATCAGAGAGAGTTAATTTGTATAAAAACGAATATGTTGCAACGCATTTTAATGTAAAACTTATTATATCTGTCACGTGTTAATATTAAATATTTCATATAAAATGTAAAATACAAAGTATATCCTTATAACATGTAGCTACAGTGTTTTGGATAATAAATGCGTGGCCTTATTATCCAATTAAACGGTGGCATCGGCTGAGCGCGCGCTCCGTTGCCGCTTGAAATAATTCTTCGTAGCTAAAAAAGTAATTCTTTTATCGAAATCCAACCGATACTACAGTTAAATTAGAACCTTTCCCTAAAACTTTCCCGCAGGTCTCATAAACCTGACCAAATAATACGTGATTTGGTAGCCGACTAACTTTTTTGTGTTAGTATGAAAAAGTTTGAAGTTTGATCGGTGGTTGAATGGTTTTTAATTCGAATAAATTAATAAAATTTAAATCATAAGCATCCTATGTTAATAGTCCAAGAGTATGCAAAGTTTCAGGAATTTTTATCGGTTCTTACTATTAAAAATTACAATTTTATTAGAGCGGCGTCACTGCTCAATATGGTCGCGAGGCATGTTTGCCCCCAAGGTGACGTCACGATACCCCTCCCCCGCACCGCCTGCAGCCGGCTACGATGCGCAGTAGCACACCTTATTTACTTCCACCATGATCTATAGGTACTATAAAAAATTTTAAACAAATAATTTAGCATTAAAGACAGTAGACAAAACTAATATGATTATCAAAGCATCAAGGACTAAAAAATGTAATAGCAAATACAGTATATGTTTCATTGCATCTCTGATTCTACTCTACAAAAATATCAACAAACATCTTAATATACAAACCAGTTCTTTTAATCAGTTCCATCATAGATGAAACAAACTCCCTTAGTAGATTTCTCATCCTTATGGAACAGCTGAAGACAATTTTATTGTTAGTTCATGTACGGTTTATGTAGAGGTCGTGTTTTGTTTACAATTTGTTTCCCGTTATTACAGCCATTTAAAACCTCGTTTAACCAAATAATACGATCTAATCATAAACAATAACTTGTCCCCTAGTTATATAACCAAACAGTAAAGCACAAATCAAGAAATTAACCCTAAAATAATGGAAACAAAGTTTCATCGACGCTAGCGCCTTTGTGTCACGTACATGAACTAGACACAAAAAACGTGCTTCAAAATTTACAATGGGATGAGAAGTCTACTTGTGTTGGTTAGTCTATGGTTCCATCTTCCACTGCCTTTACATTTTCACACTTACCATTAAGTAAACATAGTAACAGATATTTCATTGATTTTAGAAACAAAAGAACACAGTGTACTGCTTAGTTTTATGATATTTTCCTTGGTTTAGTTTAATCAGTGGTGTAGCAAAACAAATAATAAATGTATCAAATAAAGTAAATGTGAACTAAGAAGCTATGTTAAGATAAAATAAGAGTATTTTGTATTGCCATTTGATAATTAAATATAGGTTACACATATACAACAGATTTTAGAAAACAAAAATCGACGACGTAGGCCTACAATTTAGTTATTGGTGATATTCTTTAGTTTAATTTAAGCATAGGTTTAGCAAAACACAATAACTTAATTTACCTAAATATACATATAAAAAAACAATGTGATGTGCAAGTTATGTTAAGTTAATCTAACACATGTTAAGAGTTAGAATTGATTTAAAGTAGCCTCCAAATTCATACAAAACATCTATACATTGTAATTTTCATACTTTTTCCATGAAAACATATCAATAACATCCATACTATTATATAAAAATCTAATGGTGTCTGTCTGTATGTGTGTTACTAATAGGTGCAAAAACTATATAGTTTTAGAATAAATAATCCATGATAAAAGGAAGGTTGGATTAAAATAAACCTACCTCATAGTTATGGAAAATATTAAATTTAATTTCTTTGTATCAGCTCCCTGAAATTGTGAAATACAGTTTAGCAGTTCTTCTTGTTTACATTTAAATGTCAAAGCAAATGTAAACAAACATTGTTAGTGTTCTCATCGCAGCCATGGAGACCAATAAATATTTACTTTTAAAAAGTTCACCTCAGAACTTTTAAAGCCAAAGGGGCAAAGCCTACGGTCAGTATCGAAATGTGAATAGTCCTATAATGGTCCTTGGTATGGTAGCTATATTTTTGTAAAATTTAAGCCCAGTTGGTTCAGTAGTTTTTGCACCAATTAGTAACAGGCATACAGACAGACACCATTAGATTTTTAATTTTTATATAAAAGTATAGATAGATATATATATGTGTGTCCGTTAGCGTGATAACTCAAGCAAAAATGATCAGATTTTGACGAAATTTGGTACAAACGTTTAAACCTACGTTTATTCGAACGAGTTCGCGAACCAGCGTAATTGGGCCATGGGAACAGTGGCTTATGCGGGGTTTTATGGGGTAAAAATGGGTTTTTCTCATTTTTGATCCTAAAAACAAAAAATTTTTAATTTCTTTCTAAACCATTTTGTAGAGCTTAAAAAAGAAATAATTTAGTATATTGAAGCACTGTTGTATGCCTAACGGTCACGGAGAAAATAAAAAAAGTGTAATATAAAATTCCCTTGTTATTCTTATAAAGAAAGTGAAAACTGTTGTAGTTTACTTGTTTATGGATATATGTTGATACAATTTGGCAAATTTATTTATTTCATCCTATACTATTGACGGATAGATTGAAGAGGTGAGGGGTGTTGGAAGGCACTAACAATTATTTTTAACAAAGGTTACTTGTACAATTATCCATTGCATTTTATAACTATGTTTTCTAATACATGTTACAATTCTGTGTAATACGTCATGGGTACAGCATAGCAACGCTGGTGGCGCTGCCTACGATTGACAGGCAAAGCTCTCTCAAAACACTTAATGCTTTTTACCATGCGGTTGGCCTTCTGGGTTATAGTAGTACGTTTTCTGTGCCCTAGCTGACGCCCAGACCATGTGGTTGATTCAAAGACATTACTGAGATGTGTGATGATAGTGATAGCTGGTGATTTCACCAAATGAGGGATGTGTGGCAAAAGTTCAAAGGTTTGAAATTAACAGAATTTTGGCTTTATAAATATAATACATTTTAGTTTGAAATGAACAGAATTTTGGCTTTATAAATATAATACATTTTAAAACAAAACTGTTTTTGTCATATGACTATATAAACACATCTAATTTTACAACTAAGGAGTCCTCATAAATATAACTGTTGTGTAAGAGTGTGTCCTGTGTAAAGCCAAAGCCAACACACTCCTCATTGTCCTCTGTAGAGGTAGGTCTGTGCCAGTCTGAAGTGCTGCAGATTACTCTTGGATCCCATATCTGAGACATTATATCCTCTGGTGTATCTACACTCTGGTCTACAATAGTCACTCTGTGTTTCAAAGTGAATGGCCAATTCAGTTCATCATCGTGTTCGCCTTGTGCGAGGCCCACATGAATGTAAATATTGCCCTTGTCTTGATGAGGGAACATTTTAATGTACATTCTGTAACCTCCGTTCACATAGAACCCAGGACTGCGTAAAGTTTGCTGTTTTATGTTCATCATCATGTTGTTTTGCATTTCCCCAATTTTCCAATAGTAGGAAAACACTTTTTTACCAGTCACATTATCCTCGTGTACTGTGTAATTATTTTCTTTAAATTCAAATCCTCTCGGACTAGTCTTCTGAACCTGTCTTAGTGTTGAGCTGAAATTTAGAATAGCGTTTTAATCCATCAAAATAATTAAGAAGAGACTTTCTTGAAAAAATTACATTCCATATAAGAAAATGTGTTTTGTAAGTCAAACTTTGTAATAAGTTATAGCCAATGTTGGTGGAACTTAAATAAAAGGACTAAAATTTTCACAAAGTCTACAGCAAAGAATTTAAGTTATAAATAAAACATAAATATGTAGTTGCTTTGCACTTTTTTCAGATCGCCAATCATTGTTAATGAACCCTTAAAATTTTTATTTTAAATGTAGTTTACTTCAGGGATGCCCAGGAGGGGGGGGGGCATAGCGCACTTTGCGCCATCAGAATTTTTTTTTGGGGGGGCATGTTTTTTGGGTGGATTTTGGTTTTATGTAAAGAATTTTATTCCAGTAAAAAATTACAGGAAAATAAAAAAATAAATTATCAGAATCATACGCAACAGTAAAAAGTACTGTTTATTTATTTAAAACCCTTTAATCAGGATTACCAACTTCAAGTTTGCTGTTTAGAACGACACCAGAATTTTCACGTCAATCCGTAAATGTATTGCTCTTGTTAAGAGGACGGTTGGTAGGCCTAATGGCTCAACTGGCAGTGACAACCCTGTCTGTCACAGCCATTATTAGAGGATGAGTAGGCAACAGTCGTTTGAATTGTGCTTTTATTACATTGTGATTGTACCTTATTATTTTGCACGAATCACGATTAATTAATTATTTATTTATTAAGTGCTTTTGAAAATTACTACATTGTGTAGCATAGTTATTCTAATATTTACAGTACAAAATAGGTTACATAAAAGTTTTTATCAAATGACACTGTATATGAAACAACTTAGATAGAGCCTATAAAATATACTTATTCAGATGGTATTTTTTAATCAGGCTATTAATGATTTTATTAGCTTTTTTTTTCATACTCTTGTAATTCAAGCCTTTAGGATACAACTTACAGAATCGGTAATAACTAGTTACAAAGTTTAATGATGTAATCCCGGCATTAGACTATATTTACCGCTAAGTTTTTATAATTTCGCAATCTATTTAGACCTAATGCAAAACATCTGGTTTCAGTATAAAAGATAACCCCCATCATCATGAAAAGAATATTAAATCAATGCATTACTAAACTTTGGAAATTAAGAATACATGTCATTGTAAGTTTGCAAAGTGTAATACAACACTGTTACTGTATATTCGGACTGTATGATACAGTGCAAAATGTACCTCATTGGTTTTATTAATTCGTACCTATCAAATTAGGGACTAATTTATTCATACTACTGAAAGTTGCTCTAGTCCCAGCCGCTTATCCACTGAACCACAACCAGCTGTTTTCATCATTACCAATAGATTTAGGGACGTATCAGGGCATATTTTAACCCAAATCACAGAATAATCTACCAAAAATGAGCAAAGAATGAGTGTGAAATTTGTTTTGTTTTAAAATAAGGAATCAGTTTACCTATTGCGTTTTCTTTTTAAACTCAATAAATGTTGTCCTTTAGAGACGGGATGAATAAAAAAAAACTTTAAGCAAAATGTTAATGCAAAAATGTTTAAGGCCGACCGGATAAACAAAGAATTGTACATAAAAATGATGATCAACAGAAAAAAATAAAAATGTTGGGGAAAGGTTTGTGAATTGTACATACATTCATTATAAAAAAAAATGTAACTTTTCAATGATTGCCAATAAAATTCACCAGAAATCAAAGTGAAGCCTACAAAACCACACTAGGTGTGCGTTTTTACTGACATAAACTAACTAATGTTATAAATTAAAGGGTAGAGTGTGGATGTCATGCTTTAGGGGGGGAATTAGGCTTGGTTTGGGGGGGGGGGGGTATTCGCCATTTCCCTTGGGGGGGGGGCATAACATAAGCACTTCTGGTTTACTTTAACAATTTCACTTTGTTTGTTATATTCTAACAAACAAGTTAAGTTAAGATTGATTTATATCCTGGAAAATATATAGGAAAAAGAGTAAAAATTTTCCTGTGGATAAATCTTCTCATGTTGCATATATCAAAGACTACTACAGTAAACTCTAATATGATGCACAAGCATGAGGAAAAAGCTCTAGCAGTTGGAAAGCAAAGAAAAACAGGACCCACTCACTATATTTAAACAATTTTAGAATACAAGCAATTTTTGTTTTTGGAAAATTGATTTTTAATTTCTCTTCTGGATGGATACGGATACTATATCATATAAATTAAATACCCCTGCTGCGGCAATCTTGCAGACTAAGCAAATTTCGATTTGCATGATTGAATTTTAACTTTAAACATATTTAGATAACATTACGTTAAACAAGCACCTGGGTTTGATGCTAAAGGGAGGGTAGTAAAGTGTGTTTTTTTAGTAAAATATTAAAAGCTTATATAATTAAGCTTAAAATAATTATTAAGCTTATATTTTAGAATAAAATAAATAAATTTGCCATGCTTGATCAAAATATATCCATAAACAAGCAGGCTACAATAGTTTGCCTATTCTCCATAAATAAAAACATGGGACATTTAAATATACATTTTTAGCGTATTTCCCATATAGGGAATAAGCTATTACCGTAGTACTCATGGTAAGACCTGGACCCGGGACCGATTTACTTTTTCGTTTTGAGGTCCCCAGAGGCCAAAACACCATCCGTTCAAATTCATATATATATTAGCGAATTTCCCTATAGGGTAGTAGGTATTACCATAGGTCTCATGGTAAGATACCTGAGACAGATTTACTTTTCCATTTTAATGTCCCAAGAGGCCAAAAACACCAAAATTTATCTGCTACGGCTACTGAAATTACCATTGGGGACGTTTACGGCATTTCATTACACTTTTCTCTTTCCAACAAACACTTCAACCTATTAGCAATATACAAAACTTTTGATTGTAATGTTGAAATGTTCTTACATGACCTAGAAGTTTACTTATTTAATATCTATAAATCACATGGTTATTTATCTTGGAGACGCTAACATTGACATACTAAACATGAATGTTCTCACACATAGGTACTTAAACATTTTAACTGGATCGGGATTTACACAATGCATCGACAAACCTACACGAGTGACTCAAAATACAGCAACATGCCTAGACCACATATTTATCAAATACAAAGACTTGGAGAGTGTAAAGTCGGCTGTGTTACAGACTAATGTTACAGACCACTACAGCACCGGGATCACTATCACATTGGGGACACCGAACTGTCACTATGACCCACCGCCACGCACACACTTGGACCACGCACTACTCACTCACTTCCTCACACATTCCAACTGGGATCCCATAACATCTTGTCATGACAATGTTGATTTCTGTTCCGAACATTTTACCAGAATCATCTCTAATTCTGTTGCTGCGGCTAGTAAATTGGCTCATAACAAGAAATCGTGTTTCAAAAAGTTAAAACCGTGGATAACGTCAGACCTAATACATCAAATAAGAGTAAGAGATAAACTTAGTAAACAAGTCAAAAAGCAGCCTTTTAATAACGAACTTATTACTCGATACCGAGAAATTAAAAATAGTTTAAGTTTTTCTTTGAAGCTGACAAAAAGAAACTATTATAGAAATAAACTACACTTGTCCGGCAACAACCCTAAAATGTTTTGGGGCATAATCAAAGAAATATCTGGTAGAAAATGTAAAAAAGATTCCTTTCCTATTGATAAGTTTGTTCCAGCGGACCAGATATCTCCAGCCCAAGGTCTAAGAGTTGCCAGTGATTTCAACAATTTTTTCTCCTTTGTAGGCTCTAATTTAGCAAACTCTATCGATTCAAGTGGGGGCCCAGTTGTGAATGACAATGACTTTGCCCATGATTGTACATTTACACTTCACACAATCACTGAACCCGAACTGGAACGATACATTTACAGTCTGCGCGGTGGGTCAGCACCTGGCTACGATGGTATCTCAGCCGAAGTCCTGAAAGCCAATTTCCATTTGTTTAAAAAACCACTCTTACATATAGTAAATTTAAGCATTTCATCAGGTACTTTTCCTGAATGTTTGAAACTTGCCAAAGTTTTTCCTCTTTATAAATCCAATGAGTTTGCCAATATGAATAATTACAGACCAATATCTCTTTTGAGTGTATTTGCTAAGCTAATTGAGAGAATAGTTAAAGATCAATTAGTTACATTTCTTCAAGCAAACAACATTTTGAGTGATTGCCAGTATGGGTTTCGCTTGGACAAAAACATTTCAGATGCATTGTTTGACATTAATAGGGACTTAAATTCGACAATTTCAGATAATGAACACCCAATATTAATATTTTTAGATCTTAAAAAGGCATTTGATTCAGTTGATCGATCTAAGCTTTTTTCCAAATTAGAAGCAGTTGGCGTAAGGGGTAACGCACTTCAATGGTTTAAAAGTTATCTGTCTCAAAGATCTCAACTTGTATCAATACTTAACACCAACAGTAATATTGAATATGTTAACTATGGAGTGGTTCAAGGTAGTACACTTGGGCCTTTTTTATTTTTAATATATATAAATAATATTTCAAAACTTAATAATTTTGGTAAGCTTTTCTTATTTGCTGATGACACTTTAATTTTGAACAGCGGTAAAACTTGGCTTGAGTCCCGCAACAAAGCTTTGCACGACCTAATGGAAACCAAGTTATGGTTAAACCAGAATATACTCTCTTTAAATTCATCAAAAACTAAGTGTATGCCAATTTCTTTAAGTTTAAAATCTGATTATAATCTAGAAAATCTCGTCATTCACACCTGTGGTGATTACCTTGACGCCAACTGTACATGCGAATCTATTGAAAAAGTAGAGTCATTCAAATATTTAGGAGTGGTCTTTGATTACCGTCTTAAGTGGTCTAGCCATATTCAATATTTAAACAGTAAAATTAGAAAATATATTAATGCTATCGGTCAGCTGAATCAGATTCTAAATGAAAGTGAAATGAAATTAATGTACTATGCTTTTGTTCAATCACTTTTATCCTTCGCAATCATAAACTGGGGGGGTTGTTCTAAAAGTATTTTAGAGCCATTAAACATAACACAAAAGTTAATATTAAAAATTGGTTTTGGGAAGTGCAGGCATTACCCATCTGACACTCTCTTTAAGGATGTGTCAGTTTTAACGATCAGACAACTTTTCATAAAAAATTTTTAAAGTCATATTTTTAAAAATTATACCAACATTTTCTCTATAATTTCCCATACACATAATACTAGATATTCTACCCGAATTGGAATAACATCACTACAACTGTACAAATCCTTTTCATCGACCAACTCATTTTATATTGCACACGTCCTATTTCGTAACTTACAAAACTATTTTCAAAGTGTTAATCTCTTTGACTCTCCCACTTTAAACATATTCAACCGCCGTGTCAATGAGTGGTTACTTGGTCTAGGCAGGGACGAGGCTGAGCTTATCATCACAGCTGATTACAGACACAGACGCTCCTGACACGACATGCGACCTGACCATTGTACCCTGACTCGTTATCCACCGCCCACTTCTCCCCTCCAGACACACTTTCAAAGCCGTAGAATTCCTGTCACTATTACAGTTCAATTATTTTTATTTAAACTTTTGTTCTCGTAACTCCATTTACTCCTATTTTATTTTCACCTCATCATATCTTCTGTCATTTATTTATTTATTGCATTTGATTTTAATGTTTATGTTTGGACGCAACTACATTCGACGCACAGGCTCGCTGCCCATGTCGGCTTATTCCTTATAAAGATGTACGCTTTTTTTTTAAACATAGATGTAATGTAAAGGTTAATTTTATTTTATTCTTAAATTCACTTATGTTTTTTTTTCTTCCTTTAAATATTTGTGTACATATTCTGTATATACTTTGTTGGAATAAAGAAATAATTAATTCATTCATTCATTCATTCACCATTCGTTCAAATTTTTATATATGTATATATATACAAGATACAAGATACAAGATACAAGAACTTTATTGTTAGTAAAATACATAATGTGGTACATTAGTATCTCCTAACTCGTCAATTAATCCTAAACATTAACATAAACATAATTTAACACAATTTAACTTCTTCACCTTAACATATTCTAACATTCTTTAATTAGTAAATTAAATTCATCTTTAGTCACTAGCCAAAATTCATCTATTGTGAACAAACAGAGCTTAATTAAAACTTTCTTCAACTTCTTTTTAAATAGATTAAGAGGGAAATTTTGAAATTGATTTGGTAGATGGTTCCAAAGTTTTGGAGCAAAAAAAATACTTGCCAATGCTTGTCGCCTTATGTCATGCCTACTGATATGGATGTTACTTTTACCTCTAGTGTCATATGAGTGAATTTGGTCATTTGTTGTTTTAAAGATGTTAGCTTTGAAATATATTAAAACTCGGTAAATGATTATGCAAGGAACGGTAAGAATCTCAAGATTTTTGAAAGTTTCCACACGAGAATCCCCAAAGCTCAGTCCCGCCATACACCTCAAAACTTTTTGTTGAATGGCTAGGAGTTGATTTGTGTTTGTTTTGGTAGTGTATCCCCATATTTCGATACAGTACGTTAAATTGGAATAAAAAAATGAGTAGTAGATTGTTTTCAAAGTTTCAATAGAACATACCTTACCAAATCTTCTTAATATAAAAACTGACCTTGATAATTTTGTACTAAGGTAATTTACATGATCATTCCAGTTCAGTGAACTGTTTACCATGAGACCCAAGAATTTAGTTTGTGGAACAATATCTATGACCTGATCTTCTTCCACTAAAATTTTAGGGTCAAAACTTAACATTCTGGTTGAAAAATTCAAAAAAGCTGTCTTATCTATATTTACTGATAAATGATTTTCATTAAAATATTGGATTATGCCAGTTGTAAATATATTTGTAGAGATTTCCAAAGTATTTAAGTTTGAATGATTTAAAATTAAAGAAGTGTCATCTGCGTATGTTATAATTTTGCCAGTGTCGTCACTATTTATGTCATTAATGTAAATTAAAAATAACAGAGGCCCTAGGACTGAACCCTGGGGAACCCCTAGTTTCACCTCTATGTGGTTAGAAAAGAAATCTTTATCATTATGTTTGATTGAAACAAACTGTTTTCTATTTAGCATGTAGGACTTTATTAACTCAAGCGCGGAGCCTCTAATTCCATAATTTTCCAGCTTATCAAAGAGGATGGTTGGGTTCACACAGTCAAAAGCTTTCTGGAGATCCAAGAATACCCCAAAGGTGTAGTTGTTCTTTTCTAATGCCTCAATAATGATCTCAAGGAAATCGGAAATTGCCGTTGTTGTTGATTTACCTTCACGAAAACCGTGCTGATTTTTGTTGATAATATTTTTCTTTTCAAAAAAACTTAAAAATCTTCTGTGAATAATTTTTTCAAAAAATTTTTCAAATAAAGTAAAATATCAAATATCAAATCAATATCAAATGTATAGATATTATATATTAGGTAATATATAAAAGAATTTGAAATGATAGTGTTTTTCGGCCTCTGGGGACCTCAAAACAAAAAAGTAAATTGGTCCCAGGCCTAATTCTTACCATGAAACCTATAAAAATAGCTTATTCCATACATGGGAAATTCGCTAAAATTACATGATTTGAATGTAAAATTAAGCTATTACAGGTTACAGTCAATCGTTATTTTCAATAATTAGTACAATTCACTATATTTCACAGTCTTGTTACACTTACCTGTGTTTATTGTTCTGATTTAAAACTTCTTGTATATTTGCCAGTTTCTGTGATGTTTTCAACATAACTAAGTACATTTGGTTTATTTGGCTATAAAATTCTTTCCTGAGGGTTTGGAAATGTTTATCTAAATCCTCTAAAACAGAATACATATAGTTATAATTTTTATGGTGATACCCCTAGATGAAAAACCTTTCTCAGTTTAAACGTCATTCATAATAAACTGATTACAGTCTTAATTTTCATGCCTAACCACATATCACATTTATTTAACAACAGACTGTTTAAAGTACAGTAGGTGTGTAAGGATAGTCATAACGACACAAGTAGAAAATTTAGTACGAGCATTGGCGAGTGCGAGAGTTGCTTACACTACTAAAAAGTATATTAAAAATCACTACAGTAGACTCCCTCTAGTTCGGCTTCGGTTGGATCGGCCGCCGGATGGTCCGGCCTGGTCTCAGGGGGACAAGTCACATCGTCACGGGGGAATTGCCTTCGACAGGATTTAACTTGAATGTTTAGTTTCCAGCCAGAGAAGTAAACAATTCATGTCAGTTTAGTTGACGGGTGCTTCTATGGGTGAATTGTTGCATATTACCTGTAAAACTATGTTACATAACCTCAAAAATACCGAGAACATTTTATAAATAGTTTCTCTTCGGTCTAATAAGTTGAAATGCAGTGTATAATTAAATATTTCGGACCATTTTTTTATGCGGTAGGTTCTCCCATTATTATTTTTGAAACACCACAGTTTATTTGACAAAAATAAATTAAAGCAAAACAAAGAAATAGCCATCGTTAGCTTCAAGGTCAAGCTATCCGCTTGCACTGACAATCATCTGTTCTTTACACAACTGATGTCTGCTGTGCACTTGTTTGCTATCTCAAAAACAGTTTGTGATTGGGTGATTAGTAACCATTTTTTTCTGTTCTTTACGTGATTTATTGTTGTACGTTCAGTGTTGTGTAATTTTTGTTTTGCTTGAGTAAGCGTGATTTTAACGTTACAGTTTTTATTACTGAACCAAGGTTATTGACTTAACATATCACGATTGCGCAATACTATGATTTGTATTTTGATGATGTAAAATGCACTACATCCGGTTAGTCCGGCCGTTTTGTAGTTCGGCCAGTGGTCCGGTCCCGAGGTGGCCGAACTAGAGGGAGTCTACTGTACTCATAACTTCTAAGAGAGATGAGAGATTATGTTTTCGTTTATAACCTCTCATTGCCACTGATTGAGATGCAGCGACTTGTTGTCCCAACCACTTACTCATTGTTTAATCAGTTAAACTGTTCCTCATTGGTCCAAACTTGTACTGTAAAGCAACAAAACAATAATGTAATGCAAGTAAACAATACTGTCGAGTGAATCTTTTCAATTGCAAGGACTGAATTTAAATGGCTGGTTTAAAAAACGATCTTGGGTAAAATAAATAAATAAATACAAATCGTAATTTTAGATGAAGGCTAAGACTCACTGTTGGAACACACTCCTGTAAGAGCGTGAGTGAATGTTGCAGTTGCTGAGGCGACCAGCTTGTCAGTGACAATGTGACACGTGGCATGCTGTGTCTCACTGACCTCCGCCTCTGTACTGTGTGTTGCGTGGCACTCAGCTAGGCCTAGTAGCAGCACAATCACCGCACATTGCCACACTCGCATGCTGTCTCTCCTAGCCAGACCCAAACTACACACTTGGCATCCGCTGTGTGTTGTGAGGTTAGACAAAAATAAATGTTGATATGATTCTTTATTGAAGCGTTTCATTTTTGGCCTACATCTTCTGATGGATCTGAGAGATTTATGTGGTCACTTTAGAGTTGAATGTCTATTTTTGCTGTAGTTTATTTTGTTTCTTTACATTCGCCTATTACTTTGGACGTGCACATTACAGATTAATTAATTTTGTTAAGAAACAACATTGGTAACAACGGTATCAGCAATCTGACACATACTTTCTTCCATTAGCTTGTCTACAATCTTTTATCATAGGCAGTGGGAGAGTAACTGTGATATTCTATGGTTAAAATAAAAAAGTTGCGATAACTTTTGATCATAATTTTTACAGCAATGGGGGTTGTACCACTCTGTTTAGAATCATAGTGACCATAACATGCTAAATTTTTATTAAAATTGGCCCAGCTGTTTTTTACAAAAACCTTTGACCCGTAATTTTTACAGCAATGGGGGTTTAGAATTAAAAGGAATATAACATACTAAATTTTAATCAAAATCGTGTTATTTAAATTTATATGTTCACCATCAAACATCAAAATTTCCAAAAAAGAAAAACTTCGGGAGATTGCCCTAGTAGCACAAATATGTATTTTATAAATATATTTTATATATTCCAAGTTGTATTTGATAGAACCTGGAATAAAATATATAATTAATATATCTTTAATAATAGTTTGATATATTCAAATATATATTTTAAATATTACCAAAAAGCAATGCAAAATATCAATTAAATATAAGTTTTGAATATATAAAATAGATTCATAATATATATTGTTAAACTAAGTATAGAATCTATAATATACATATTGTATATGTATATTTTTCCTATTAAATGTAAAAAAAAATATGTGTTGAGAATATTTTAAATATATATATAAAATATTTTTGAAACTATATTATATTTAAAGTATTTATAAATATTTTTTGAAACACATCAGATATTGTTATTAATAAAATAATAATATTTTTGTAGAATATATATAATCTATTATAATTGGCAAATAAATAATTTGCATCTTTTTGTTTTTCATAGTGTTTATCAATTTATACATGCATTTTTTGTATGATAATTGCTATTGTGAAAGTGTTAAAATTAAGTAAATAATAATATATAGGCTACTCTGGAACACTATACTCTAAATGTTGTCACTCTATCATGCACCTAAAGAAAAAAATTACGCATATACCGTAGTTAAGAGGCAGTATACATGTTCGACAGCTACATGTGGGTCAAACGAAAAAAAGTGTTGATGGGTTTTATTTTTTAATTGCAATATGTGACAATGAATGCGATCATAGAAATCTCGAATGATTGGCTAGAAAAGGGTGCTAGAGACTGGGGACCTTTTAAGAAACTAATTACGGTTGTATATGACGTTCTAAAAATAATTATATGATTTACTTATGTCATAAATTACATAATATTATTTACATGATATTGTATTTAAATTAGTTTTTGTAGTATACTGTATTTGTATTCGTGGGACTACTCACTATTCACTACAGCACTATTCAACTCAACTACTTGATGCCAAAACAGATTAACAGAATCATATTATACTGTTGTATCAAAAATATTTTAAGTATTTCAACCATTGCAACTGCCGGCTACTCTTCCACCATTTGCAAACAATGACTCACAACAATCGCAGATAGCTCAGAGGTAAGGTATGAGGCTCATAAGTCGAAGGACCCAGGTTCGAGACCCGTCCGGGCCGTGAAAATTTTATCTAGTTTTTTTTTCAAAATTTGTTTTTATGAACTATTTAATCAATTTACTCAACTGATAATAATTGTGCTTTTCATACTAAATCTTTATTATTTTGTGTTTTTATGTTTAGGCCCCATAGGATGTTTGGAAGTGATATTAAATACATTTTTTATTTAAATATTAATCACTAAAATATATTACTAGAACATATTTTTTAAATATTTAATAGATTCAAAAACATATTTTTTATATATTTCATATATTTTATAAAATTGACATTGATACACACTTGAGATATATAAAACAGATTTTAAATATATTTATTCATATGTATTTAATATATATTTGTACTACTAGGGTGGTACCTTACCCACATACCAAATTTCAAAAAATTCGGACCACAGGTATGGTCTGTATCCCTGTACACATCCACACTTACATACATGCACATACACAAACACACACACAGACATAACTTCAAAAACAACTTTTTTGGGTTTCGGACCCAAAACGAATATATCCACCCAAAAATCAAACTCTAAAATTTTGATGAAAACAATACTTTCTCTAAATACTATTTATAGGCGTAGAAAGTAAAGAGAATATATATTTCAGAAAATTAGAAAAAAAAGCCATTTACTAATGTGGTTTTTCCATAAAATTAGAGCGCAATGCAAGATTTAAAATGCTTTGAGAATTTTGTGATTTATACTTGCTCTGTGCTAGTTATCTCAGGGAGTGCACCTAGAAACATGGTAATGAAATTTGGCCAAAAATTTACTTTCTAAAACAACAAATTTATAATTTAATATGGGTATGAAAAAAAACATAACACACTATGCTGCATTTTATAATAGGCTTTTCAGAGCATCTTTTAACATTTTGTAGAATCGATAGGTGACGGTTGGACTGATGCAGACTAATATTTACCACTCCTACTTCTTCAAGATTAACAAAATTATTGTCTTGATAGCTAAGTAATTATAGAGTTTTAGAACTCGCCTTAAAATATGAAACTTCTGGTTTGATTCCAAACAAGATCAATTCTGAACCCAGATGTCATTTGTCGTTGGGCTTGTTTATGGATATATTTTGATAAAACTTGGCAAATTTATTTATTTTGCACTAAGCTATTAATATTTTACTAAAACCCCACAATAGTTTCCTTGTAGCAGCAAACCAAGGTACTCGTTAAACCTAAATTAAGTAATTTAAATAGATTTAATTGAAAATCAGTTCAGACAAATGGAAATTCGCTTAGTCGGCAGGTTTGCTGCGGCGGGGGTATTTTAATTCCATTTAAATATGAGTACATATAACGTTAACATGGTAAACTCCAGAGCCACTGGGGCAGAGTCCTTTTGACGGATCTGCACCAAACTTCACACAAACCATCCTTGAATAATGCTTAATAATGCCTGAAAGTTGCATTACAATCTGTCAAGCGGTTTCGGAGTCCATAAAGGACAAACAAACAAACATACATTAGATTTTATATATATAGAATTAAATATCGTTAATTTTAATCTTTAATGAGTAGCCTACTTAGGTTTGCTGCTACAGGGAAGATAATAAGGTGTGTTTTTTTATTGAAATATTGATAGCTTAGTATGAAGTGAACAAATTTTCCAAATTTCATTGAAATATGACCACAGACAAGCAAGCTACAACAGTTTATTTAAAGAGGTGGTGTCTGCCTATTCATGGATATAGGAAATAATTAAGACTATAATTATAGTGTCCCTGTTGCTCGAATTCGAGCAATTGCTAAGTATTCCAGGTGTTATTTTAAAACGAATAAATGTAATAATTTCAGATGACTTTGAAAAAGTCGAGATTGTGGAAATACTCAAGACAGATCGAGTATCGAGTGAGAGTGATCGAGTGTTGTTTTTTTTTAACAGATCGATATAATCAACATTTCTTGTAAATATCTTATCATTTTTCAAAAGCGAATCTTGTTTTTTAGTGTTTTCTACAAATAGCCTTACTCATAGCCGCATTACATTACAGCCGAAAAACATTATTTCTATTTCTTCTCCTTGGTGGTGTTCTACGACTTTCCTATGTTTCCATAGTTAGCAAATCGGCTTTTTCAATGATTTCTAAAAAATGCAGCACAGTGTTAATTCAGTTTTCTTTTTAGTATACAAAATTATCCAGGCTCTCTCGCTTTTTTCCATTGTAATATTTACGCCAATCCAAATTCAAATAGTAAATATTTAATCTCAACCAAGTCAGTAAATGTTTGTAGCAAACTTTTAAATTAGCAAACTTATTGACTGTTTACAATCAACATATGTTCTTCTCACTTTTAATTTCTGACAACAGCTGGAGTTTCATAACAATTTTAGTTTCCTATGTTAATCTTATGGAGAAATACAAAACTTTAAAGGGCCCCAGGGCCTCACTCTCTATTTATTTCCCTAAAAAGAAAGTTTCTTGCACAACTTCACGTTACGCTCTTCCAATGACACCAAAAACATGTATTGACAGTTTCGGTATTCGGTTCAGTAGTTTCGGAGGAGTAATTGTCACAAAAAACCTGCTTGTGTATTAAATAAGTACACAAATAGTGTACATGTTGCTCGAAATCGAGCAATTGCAAAGAAGTACAGGAGTTATTTGTAAACAAATAACTTGTTTAAAAACTAATAACAGTCATAATTCCGATGATTTTAAAAGAGTCAACTTAAAGATTATTAACTAATGGAAATACTCACAATTTACATAACAGTCCTATTCCAGTTTAAAGGGTTAATTATTAACAATCAAACTAAACTGTCCATGGACGGAAAAAGGTAAGCTTACAATTTAAGTCAACGTAAAAAGGCTGTCAGCGTTTATAAAGTACCATACCTAGAGTTATTTAGCCAGTTTGTAGACAATAAGGTGTAGGCTACTTTAAACTCTACAGGACAGAGTTAGGCAAAAACTGGCAAAATTCTGAAATGGTGTTATTTATCATAGACTTACTCATATGCCAAATCCTTAAAATAAAAATCCAATAACTAATAACTTATATCAATATCCAAAACTATACAGATTTTTAATACAACATAATTTACACATTGATGGTTTACAATTAATATGCTCTTCTTCTCACTATTAATTTCTGCTTCGCAACGGGAAAAGTCTGTTTAATAATCATTGAAATAGATTTACAATAAATAATCTATAATAAAGTTTAAGATTGAATAAACATACCACATAGTTGTTTT